ACAAAGTATTCTATTGACGACGTAATATCTTGGAAGCGTTAATTTGTTTACATTTTAGTAAGCAGTTTGACGTAGACCACCATTTTGTAGACGTCGTGTGAATTTGCACGAATGTGACGATTTGCATCATCATTATGTCAATAGTTCGGGCCTTCCAGCTGAGGGCAAACATCGGTCAGCGTGCGACCTTTCGTATACCCTCTTGACTCGGTAACGAGATTATTGAGTGTCACAAAAGATTAGTTATTGTACCTCTTTTATTGTAGTAACTGTTATAAATATTTACATATGGCCTCTTTTTTGCTGTACTTGAATGTTTTGTTTACGTCAAGTGTTTTGTTGAATGAATTTTTTATTCATATTTTATACTCCACAATGATCAACATCTGCTATAGCAGTGCTTAAACAGTATATATGACTAATAAAAAAAATTACCCACCTTTGTGTTTTTTTTAATAGTAAAAGTAAGAAATGAAACCTAACAGAGACCGCAATGGTTTTATTCATGCTATAAATATTTTCGGTCTTAGATATTTTTTAGACACCTTTTCTTTGTATGAACATTAAAGCTTGTGAGCCCGTTTTTTTTGTAGTTCTTATAATATAAGCTAAGATGAAACTATGAAGTATTGCACGAAATAGAAATAATAGGTTTAATAATTATACACGCGTGTCAACTTTGCAATCTCAAAATTTTCTCAACCAATTTAGCAATAAAAACGAATTAAATTTCATAATTATGAAGTTATATAACTGAAGTTTGATTGCAAGAATCTGTTTTGCACTTGACCGTATTTTAGGAAATATAAATTATTAATTTTCTAATGTCTGCGTTAAAAATCGTATGTTGTTTTATTTATTGAAGTACCTATAGTATTTATAGTGTTTTGTATTTCGATCACGATTGAATTATTGATTGCCAATGTGAAGGCCACTCATTGTAGCAGTTTCTAAATTATAGGACGTTATTTCCAGAACTCTTATTAAGATTTTTGGCATATTAAGCATTGACAAAATGTCAGAAAAATCCATCAGAATTCAGGCAACTTTTTATTTTTACTTATTGCTTAGATGGGAGGACGAGCTCACGGCCCGCCTGGTGTTAAGCGGTTACCGGTTACAGCGTAAATGCCGCCACCCACTTTTAGATATTAATTCTAAAGTCCCAGTTTTTACAGTATAACGGTGTTTCACCCTTCAGATTGAAACGTATTGCTGCGTCACGGCAGATTCACAAGACGTCCTACCACCAGTAATTACGCAAAATTTATGTTTTGCAGGTTTGATTTTTATTACACATTGCTATCCTTCACCGTGGAAGTCAATCGTAAATGTTAGTTAAGCACGTATTTTATTATAAAAACTGGTACCTGTCTGCGGAATTTAAATACCGGCACAATCGCTTCGCTTGATACGAATGCATCGGGCGTCTTATCCTTTAGGCCACGACAACTTAATTGTGTAGATGAAATTCCAAGACAAACTAATAGATAATAGATAAGATTTATGTCTGAAATACGAAATGTACGCAAAATTATAATTTGCGTAATTACTGGTGGTAGGACCTCTTGAGAGTCCGCGCGGGTAGGTACCACCACCCTGCCTATTTCTGCCGTGAAGCAGTTAATGCGTTTCGGTTTGAAGGGTGGGGCAGCCGCTGTAACTACTATACTTGAGACCTTAGAACTTATATCTCAAGGTGGGTGGCGCATTTACGTTGTAGATGTCTATGGGCTCCAGTAACCACTTAACACCAGGTGGGCTGTGAGCTCGTGCACCCATCTAAGCAATAAAAAAAAAGATAGTACTTATAAGTCAGTCTTATAACACGTCATTGTGAATCCTCCCAGTACACTCTTGGTAATGTTAGACGCCATAGGTATTCACGCTAGCTGCTATCACAGTATAAAACATTGAATAAACTCGTCGGTGAGCTCGACTTAATACTTAGCCCATAACATCAGCCCGCTGAGTTGACATAATTACAACATATACCTATACAAAGGTATTTAATCTATACATTATATTACTACTACTAGTTTACTGTAAACATTAAGTATGTTTCGTAGCAGCAAGGAATCATGAGTGGACGATAATTAACAATCTTGAAAAACCTTTTGAAAGGTTTCCGAGGACGGGGAAAATGAATTTTTTTCTTTTCTTTTAAATACTTTATTTAAGCTAAAAATTAAGCATGAAACGAGAATTTGAGTGAGGTGAATCGTTTTTGGATACGGAAAACAACTTAAAAAAAGTTTTAGCTTACCTACATAATTTGATTGATGATGATGATTGATGAAATGTCCTTAAATCCCATCATTTGATTAAAAGGCCCTGAAGCAATGTCATGTCCCTATCAACCCAAGTTTCTAATTTTTTTTTAAGTTGAGACATGGACGTTTGACGTTTGTAGCCTCCTCAAATTTTAAAACCTTCCTTATGTATATTCTGCAGTTACATCCTCATAAAATATGACGTAACTAAGAGCGTTTATTATGGGATTTAACGTAATTTTCCTGTAAAGTTGCTTTTGTTCTCATTAAGTATTTCGTGCAACCATTAACCTTTGTTAACAGAGGCTATCAATTTTACTATAATATTCAATGGGGTTATAGAAAGCTGATGTGTGCTTGTGTGTCGAATAATAATAAATATTTATTTAAATTTGATGAATTTATGCTGTATATCCCTTATAAGCATAAAACAGATTTACTTTTCTTTGTCATTAATGAATTAGTAAAAATATCTTCAAACACTACACATATAACGAACAAAAATTTCTTAGAAGAAATTAAAAAGGACTGTTTGATGTTTTTGTGAATTATGAAGTAACTTAACCATCTCTAAAGTTTTATATTTGATCTAAAATGTGGATTATATATAACAGTGACGAAAATCATCTAAGCAATAAATAAAAAAAATCGGAAATCTTGACACGAACACTATATTTTAGAACGAAGTGTTAAGAACATAATTCGACCTCCCATATAGGTACGTGCACACATTTCTCTCTTGTAGTCAGATTGAGCTTTTTTTATAAATGATGGTTCCTATGTGCATGCAATTAGTATAAGTTTTAGTTATTTAAAAATGTTTCAATGTATTGTAACGATTGAGCACGAGCCGAGCGACGTTATCAATTTTCTTTATCTCTCCAAGATAAAGTGATCTTGACAATTTAGAAATAATCACAAGATGATTTGTTGGCGTAGATAGAAAGGAAAACTGACGGCCTAACAGGTGTTAAATAGTTACCGGAATAAACTTCATAAGCTGCAACGAGAATACCGCCCACCTTCAAATATTAGGTTACAATTTCAATTCGAATAATAACAGCTATTCTAACCTTCAAAGCACTATTCCTTCTCGGCAGATAAAGACAAGACTGTTCCATAATGAATAAAGCCGCGTGGGTTTAACAACAATCACCTTCACAATCATTGATAAACTTCACATAGGTATTCGGTACATTTATTTTATTGATATAAACCTACTATACCACATCCACACATATACGAGACAAGAACAACTTTATTCAGTGAGCGGGAATCGTCAGGTGAGTTGATAATATAATTTTTTAATCATATATATGACACGGCTTTAACCGTATTTAAAATCTGGAAATAAAACCAACAACAATCGTCTGTCTATCGACACGGTAAGAGTCAGACCAGAGTTACTAGATGGAACAAGAACTTAAATAGAAATCTTTTTTTTTTGGTCAACATTGTAAGGTTTACTCGTCGACATTACGCAGATTTTGCTAGTTGCTTTTAAGTTTTAAATTAAAAATAGTTAATTTGTTTTTGCGTGATCCTCGAAATAAAAAAGACCATTAAAAACTATGAAAAGTTCAAGATTATTGATTGAATACTTAAATATTGAAAGTTCGGTCTGGTCAAAATACCTTATCATATTATTTTATATATCAAATCTATTTTCAGACTCAACGCTGTTGTGTAATACTTTTAAATCGGAATAAGTTAAGAATTGTTGTCCCAAAATACGACTAAAACAATAGCTGTAACTTTCAAATCTAAAAATCGCTTCATTTACGTTATGCACAAACAAATTTGTGTAGGAACGTACGTTTTACAATATACATGACATACTTGTTTCAATGCTGAGGTCATATCAATTTCATCTAATAAGGCGCTGTTTTAGGTCATGTAAAAAAAGTATACCATTCAGTCATCCAAACGCAAAACCAAGACAGGAGCAATCACTCAAGGTTAGTTTAATTGCGAAAATATAGACATTGCAAAACGAAGACGCGGTCACGATATGCATAATAAAAACGAAATATTAATTTATTTTGCAAATTTAACCGAATTATACGAGAATGTTGCGTCGATAGTGGAATACAAATTTTGTATATTTTTTTTTCATTTACCTGCCTTTATTTTATAGTAAAATAGATTGCAGTAGCTACAAATATAATCATATATTTTTGATCTAGTAACTGATGTTGTAGGAAATGCGTTCAAAATAACTTTTGTATCAGGCAAAGGACGCGTCTAGTTGGCATCGATTTCTAGAAGAGCGTAGCACTTTATGTGGTTCACGGACGATACTCTTCATGCTCTGCGCAGCTATACGCAACACATAAAATTTGTTAGACATTACATAACAGATCTGGCTAGACATTCTAGGCCTATAGATACTTAATATAGTATTAAGGGAATGCCTGAAAGAAATGTTTGCGCATTTTGTAACTAAACTTATCCAAGTTATCTATCTTGTAGTGACATAACCTATATAGATAGGAAGCCGGGTTGTACCAACCAATAAAACATAGTATTCATACTGCTAGAACAATAAAATTAATGATATATATGTATCATCCTATTTTTGTCCATCTAATAAAGTTTAACTTGCAACTTTCATTGGAATGTTGAGTGCAATTAATCCTGTCATTGTGATTTTAATTATTTTGAACTACAAGTTTTGATTCAAATCAGTGAGTACTTTTTGAATGATAATTAAATAAAAAAACCAAATAATAGAGAAAATTAAATTTATTAAATAACCTCATAACTTACTGAGAATCCCTTACACGTTCAGCCCTTATATCCTATATTTACAATGCAGGCTGTTATTCTATATGTACATCGCGCGCGGGCCAGGCTTTAAATCACAGGAAATAAAAGATTAATTAATAGAGAAGCATCACAGTCTAAACAGGGGCTCCTACTTCTTCCTGGTAGGTCCTCGTGAGTTGTGCTGCTGCGACAGTGAGTTGGCGGAGAGAACGGCGCAAACCACGTAGATGACGGCGACACGCAGCGGCGGCCCTCGCTGCGGACTCGCGTTCATCTTCGCCTTCGATTCCAGAGTCACCCGCTGCACTAGAAGCATCGCTTTCAGTGTCGCTGAGGTCAGACACGCGCCTCCCTCGCTCCACCTGCTCTTGGCTATCACCACCTGACCACAGCAACTCAGTCTTCAGATCATTAAGCATGGAGAACATGCTGAATGGGTCATCGTCACCTTCCTGTGGCAAATTCATCAGACGACTTGGTACTAAGACCGTCTCATCCATGGTGTTAACCATTTTGACAAATTTCTCCATGTCATTCAGGATGCTCTGTTTTGAAAATTCAGCACCATCATTACGGGCGATTTTGCGCAGGGTGTTCCTGTAACAATGAAAAGAAAAAACAATTAGTCTTATTTATATCACAACAATTTCACATAATATAGAGGAGAGCATGTTATCTTGAAAATCCTAAATTATAAATGATATAATAGGAAAGCCGTACAAGGAAATATTTTAATCGGTTTAGCATTATGTATGAGGTTTTCAATGTCAATAAATTTCTGTATTATAATAAATTGGTTTTAATTGCACCAATCTTCAATAAAACAGTTTATCCCATGATATGTATGCTTACAGCTGTAAATCTGGTTTTTATATTGTTTTAGAATATTGTCAAGTTATTTATTGATAAAATATGTAATTAATAAATTGTCCTCAAACTGGTGACAAATATTATGTAGATTTTACAATTTTTACTTAATAGATTTCATCTTGTTAAGATGACAAAGACTATTTCACTTTTAGACTTACAATAATTGCAAAAAACTTTAAATAGTTCTAGTGGTTTTATTTAAAGTACATATTCAATTCAATTCAAATTCAAATTCAATTCAAAATTGATGGTTTGATCTCAATTCAGTTTTAAGAAATTTATTTCTTCACTTTAGCAGTTCAGAATTGAACTTGATTCGTTGTTAATTATGAAACAATGTTCATATATATTAGATAAGTCGTTAGGAACTATTAAAATTCCAACACGATTTTTTTCATAAACTCCGAGTTTGCTCAAGACTTTAGCGGGTTAAGAAAACCTTGAATGTAGCATTCACTGTGGCATTGTAATAAAAAGTAGGTAATATAGTATATTAACCGATCATACTATAATTCCATGAAATCATGTAATGTTCGGCCTCCGCTGAGTCACTGTTCGCGCACGCCCAGTATGAGGGTAGCATCATCGATGAGCCTAACGTGCTATTATTATTTGGAAATTCCACTTATGAACCATTGGTCACGTCCAATAATTCACTGAAAATTTTTTCACTGGCATTTTATATAGATAGTGTCAATGTGAAAGGAACCATTGCGCTTACGTCGACAATTTGATAGCTTAATGAATTTGTGTATTTCGGCACGATCATCAGCTCAATAAAATGCATCAAATATCACGTACGCATCGAAGAGCCACACGAGAGACGGGAAGGTTCCTGACCTGCGGGATGTGGAGCAATATAAACGGACACTATGCGTACCTGCTGTTTTCCAATTTTGTCGATATGTCTGTGTTGAAAGACATCTTCTGGTGTTATTTAACAACTTTAAATATCACTGAACACACACGAAATGAATAATATCACAGTAAAATTGGTGTCTGAGAGCACTGCTAACGAAATGAAGCAATCGACAAACTGATTCAAATGAGCGAACCTCCACACGTAACGAAGTGACTTGACGTTTTGCTAGCGGAGGGGAGAGCTCATGTATTTATACGTCTCGATCATACGATGCGGGGGGAGGCGAACTTTGAATAATATCATTGTATTGTAGAATGATATTACGGGTTCAGTGATAATTTAATTAATATTGTCATTAAATAAAGTTATTGCTATATTGGAGTAAAATATCTACAGCTGCTTATGTCATGATATTGACCATTACTCCTTTTTATCAATAACAGCCCGGCGCGTCCCGTGGAAGTCACACCACATTCGAGGATTGCGATTGGTTGGAAGAGTAACATTTAATTTTTCATTGGACTGTATTCTACATCTAGAAGGCGCTATTTTCAAATTTTTTTCTACGTGTTGAAGTTCAAAAATTATTATAACAGTGTATGAAAGTATTACAGTTTATACTTCTGTTTACATGCAACGTTTTAAATTTATTGTTATGACAAAAAATATGTTTTTTTACTAATGTTTATAACACAATAACTGGATAAATTAGAAACGAATACTGATATTGATACTGATACTAACTGATATTGAGACTGCTACTAAAAACACAGGCGTATTGAGTATTTACAAAAAAATATAGTGTTAATCAGAATGATGCTGTAATTTTGGGTAAAATAAAAAAAAAAGGTAATTTCCGTGGCTGGCGTGAATATGTTGACATGTTCAAAAGGTAAATTTTACAGGGGCGCAATTTTAAAGTTTGACTAATAATGATAAATTGTGTTATCGAATTTACTTACAAATCTCACTTGACTTGAGGATAAAGCTATACAATGTATTAAATTATGACAAGAAATACGCTTAAATTATTTTATTTTTCGTAATATTAGACTTATCAATTTGTTCACCAATGAGTTATCAATATATTCACCACTTTAATAGGAAAAAATTAAGTAGTCATATATACGGAAATAATAAGGAAAATATATTTGTCATATGTCCCTGTATACAAAATAAAACATTTATAGCCAAAATCAACATTGTTTTAAGGAGAAAAAAACGTTTGAAATGTATAGAGCACCTACAAAATAATTCCACTCCAACTCCACAGTCCAGTAAACTAATAATAAATTAGCCATTAGCAATCATCTTGATCTTCTAAATCTGGATCGTCCTCATCTATATCTGGATCTGTAGGGTGACAATCATTTGTTTTTAACTGTTTATAGAAATTGTGGAAAACTTCATCAACTAACTCCAGAAGATCCATTAAATCTTTTTTCTTTTCGGCACTGATTGATAATGGGTCTTTTGAAATTTGGTTCATTCTAAAAGATTCACCAGTACACGATCTTCCTCTTTTCTTAAAATTTACAGTGTTGAAAGCGGATTCCCGATCAAGATTATCTTTAAAATGAATTGTGCCGAAACTTGTCTTAATGTATTGCAACCATTTAATCGGTTGCCATAAAAACTTTTGTCCCGAAGTATCGTTCTTCTATACAGAAAACGGTCCTTTCTTGGATTTTAACGCTGAAAAATCTAAGAAGTCTCTTAAAGTCATTACTACAACTCTAAAGGGATTTTGATGTTTGCATGTTCTCACTAGCTGTACCCAATCATTTAAGTGATTAATTTTCATTTGTGTTCTTTTTTTTGTTTTTTTCTATTATTGCGTGATCAGAGTCGCACTCCATATGAGTATGTCCACTTATAAGAAATTTGTGGTGAATTGCTTGCAGCGTAGGGTGATTGTTTAGTAGGTACATAAACATCATGGCAACAATGTTATTTTTATTTTGGCCACCACAAGTATCTGAGTAAAAAATTACCTCCTTCACATTTAACGGCAATGTATTGCAAAAGTGCCACAAACATGATCCAATTTGATTGGCTCCTCGTGATCCTATGGTCTCGTCCCACATATAGCATGTAGCTTCATTACTTCCTAAGTCATGGATGGTTAAATTAAAGGACCAAAACTGTCGTTTATAAAAAGACACTGAGGTTTTTAAATAAGGCGTTCGCAGACATTGTTGAAGATCAAAAGAAAATGCCCTAATCGAAGAGTCATTCTTTACAATATCTTTGTCAATCCTTTTTTCACTGTAAGCTTTTTCAGCTCGGGATTGATGTTCGGCTAATTCAGCAATCAAATTTATTTTCCTATCGGCGTCTGCTACTTTAATTTTGGCATTGAAGACATCGCATGTATTGCAGGTGTCTTTTGAGGGTTGTTTAAATGAAAGATTTAGGTCATGGAAACATTTGGCATATAGTTTCAAAGAAACAGGATTTAAAGTAGATTTTTTATATTCCCGATACATTTTTGCAATCGATAAATCGGTAGCAAGGTATTTCTTGCCAGTGGATTTCCTGCAATAGTGACTTTCGTATCTCGGGAAACTGGAAATGTGTTCTCGGACAGACGTCATTTCCTCCGGGGATTTTTTATTTTTTGGCGACTTACAACCTCTCTGATCACTGTCTATGATGCCTGTAGGAGAATGTTTTTTCTTTTCGACCACCACATTTACAAATCCCTTAGTTTCACCAAGTACTCTGCAAAAACACTCTTTGCAAATCGGTCTCTCTTCATTAGAAATCAAGAGTTTATACACAAAGTAGCAATCCCTGTTCTTTTCTCTACAACCAGTTGTTTGAGATTTTTTTGGTAGTATTGTTACTGATTTAGATATAAACGCTGCTCTTCTATCTCTCTGTTCTAATTGCCAATAATCGTCAAAACTCTGTTTTCTTTCAGCCACTGTGATTCTTTCAGCACATTTTAACCTACATATTCCTAAATCTTTAGTTTTTCTCTCAGCGACTACCTTACCCTTTTCTGTAGTATAGCTCTTTCCAGTATTTCTTAATATTTTGCTTTCTGTTCTTTCTTTTCTTGATCTGCCCTTATTTTTCTTTAATGTATTAATAGCTTTTTCATTGGATTCTGTAAAAACTATAGTTTGCACATCTTCAACTTTGTTTTCTATAGAAGAATTCACATTCTCAACTAAGGTTTGTGTGTGGTTTTCGTTTAAAGATAAGCTATCATTTTGGTTATCCCCTAAAAAGTCTGGATCCTCGACGCTGTCGTCACTAGCCGCATCATAGTAACTTTTTATTTCATTTTCTATAGTATCACCGGTTTTAATCATGTCTGGTAAATGTTCACTGTCTAAATCCACTTCAGATAATACATTAATTAGTGTTTGGGTTTCTGGTGACATTGCTGGAATAGGAGATGATGTGGGATCAACATTATCAACACTATTCTTCAATGACAGAGATGAGGCCCATGGCGGCGAAACGGTACGAGGAGTATCAAAAGTAGGTTCACCTAAAAAACAGCAAAAGTTCTAGTTATTTTAGTAATACTGCTTTGTTCCTGTACTGAGCCATTCACACTTTTCGACTCCTACCAGCGCGTTAGCTGGCCAACGGTAAAACTGTCGCCCCGACCTAATGTGAACCACCGCCTAAAGTTGTAAGCAAGCACTAAGAAACAATTTGAGGTAGTTCCTCGGCATAGCAAGATATGTAAATAAATTTGCGGGCGTCCATCAGTTAAATTACAGAAAAATGCTGTAGGTACTTATCTAACCTTTTTCATATACTGGTATTGCCTTGCAAGATGATTTCATCTCTAAAATTTCTTCTCGTAGTTCCATTCACTTGCGCTTCCTAAGCATTAACTTCTCAATCTTAATCTGATTCTGGAATAAAATCTTAAATAATTTAAGAAAAACAACAGATAGTTAAAAACAACAAAATACATAGCTTCTTTCTTTAAACGTAAAATTTTAATACCCTTACTGAATAAAAAAAGTACTCTCATTATCCTCGATTTCCATTTCACATAAAGCACTATAAAACTCACACAAATAAGTTTATTGATTAATGGAACTAACTATAACTTTGTTATTATTTTGATTAAAGTTTTATAATCACATAATTATCCAGAAGTGAGGTATAACTAAAGTTGGTATAAGTAATATTAATACATACAAAGATAATCATAATTTTATTATAATGTTTAAAGATTAGTAGGTTGTTTGTACACAATATAATATCTAATGATATCAACATATACATTATTAAAACAATAAAATGTTAAATATACAATTTGAGCTATCAAATTTCGTATACAGTCATTGGTTATTTTGGTTAGTGAGCATAACTTGATAAATCGTTATATCAAATAAAAATTATTAAATACAAATAAATATTAAATGTACAAGTTGAGCTATCAAATTTCGTATACTAAGAATGTGTGTTTTAGTTAGCGAGCATAACTTGACAAAACGTTATATCAATGTGTGAATAGATTAAACCGGGAATCATAAATGTTACATGTCGTTTTGTTAAGTAGTGAACCCTCAAAACCGAGATATTCTGTTATTACCAAAGGGAAAATCTTAAAAGGTTATGAATATTTCGGACTGTCAATTTTTTCTATAAAAACACAGGCGTAGGAAGCGTCTAATCGAATAAAAAAAAAAGATGTATGACGAGATATCAATGTATTCCCGCCAGCCACGGATTTATATTTTGCATTAAAAAAGGAAATAAATAGTTTTCTTCTGAAGAGGTGAAAGGTTCTTTGAATACATTTTGGTGTATTATTGTATGCAAAGTACTTCGTTCCGATTTACGTAAGTAATTATTATTGATTGGGTGCTGTGTGGTAATGGAAAATAATTTATATTTGCGTAAAAGCCGTCTTGTCGGTGTACAATACGCACACACACATGCCTACTAGCTCTATAAACAAACTTAATTATTTGGTATATGTATACCTATTAACATGGACTTTACTCTGGACTATTTAACTTAAGGTTAAGTAAATTCAATGTATTGGTATAAGGTAGAAAAAAAATGTGTTTTTAATTTTAGACTTAAACTTATTATTTTATTGTATCTGATAACATGATTGTATTATTTTACCGGCATGTAAAAAGTAAAAATAAGGAAAAATGTAGATATACTTACATACATACCAGCTACATATTAATTTTTTTAGTATGTTTTGTTCTTCAAGACCTAATAAATGATTGCGCTGTTTCAATATT